TGGTGAACAGCGTAACGTATTTAATATGTTTTTGGTTGTCAGTAATGTCTTAGTTATGATTGTGTATGTCTGCTTCGCATGCTTCATCAAGAAAGCCGAGATAAGTGAGTGCTACTTATGATTGACTGCAACTCTGAAGTGGCCTTACCTTGTCCAAGCCAGTCAGAAGCAGAAAGAATTAAAAAAAATCACATTGCATTTTTTAATATTCTAAACACCGCAGTGTTTGAATCTGAGCTTATATTTAGCTTTTAACTTTAATTTTCAGGTAGTGTGAGCGCAAGAAACATTCTACGATCTTTGATAGTGATTAGTTTGTCTACCGTATTCGGTTGGCTAAGCACAATGATCGCGTCGTACGCAGGAAGGTATCTGAGTAGTGCGGCTTTGCACGTGAGCTTATTGGCAGGACTTTTTGTCAATACATCATCAGCCATGAACTTTTTCGTCTACTACTTTGTGAGGTTCGCGGATTCGATCAATGGAAGGATTTGTTTAATATTTTTTATTGATCAAATAACAATTCAACGAATCATGAACGAAGAAACTCTTTTCTCCCATTGCAGAACCTATGCCTCTATAACGCCCTGTGCCCATAGCTCCATCCCGAATAGGCTCCCACTGAAGGACATTGGGCCGACCTAAAATGTTCCGGAAATTTTTTAGGTGCTACCAATACCCTAGCGTACTACAGGCGTTGTTAAAGTGGGCATAGCATCACCATTCGAAGTGATTTTCTAACCAAATATGTCTTCTAATACTAAGGGCATTGAACTACATCGCTTGAACCAAGGAAACCAGGTTTAAAGAAGAACTGCTTCTTTCCCAGATCAGCTGCAAAAGAAACTCCTCCCAAATCGTTGGATATCGCAGAATTAGTGATTTTGATTTAAAGGTTGAACTAAGCATTTTTTTCACATCTGTAAACCTTATGTACAGTTTTGTAGCAGAGACTATCGGGAGACATTTGACAAGTATCTATTTATTGGCAATCTGAAGCAGAATACTCGCAAAATTCACATATCGAATGGAGGATTCCTTGTCAAGTCAGAGCATTCAAAATCTGCAGCGCCTCATCATAAAGAGTGCTCCTTGGTTGCACCAATTTCATATCCAGTGCCTTTTGATTTATAAGAAACCGCATTTGACAAAAAATACCCCACATATAAATTCTCGTTTGTCTGTTCGCGTTTGTTTGTTTTTTGTTTGTTCGTTTGTGAGCCTTTTAAGTTTGCAAGTTGATTACAGTTGGTCTGTCCGAAATTCGGTTCACCCTGGACAGAAGCAAGCTTGGAAGAGGTCATTCAAGTGGGATAGGTAGGACATAGGACAAACAAATAAAAACGCAACCCTTACCTACTGGGGAAGCCCCGCCCACAATGGGCGGGGCACTCGCCGAAAGTTTGGGTTTCCGCAGGAAAAATGTTCATAATTCGCTTCCGGAGCAGCTTAAAGATGGGGAAAAAGGGACTAAGGTTAGTAAGGAGTCGCCAGACTAACTGTGGCAGGTACACCCTAAATGGGCGGGGCGTACTCAAGGTGGGCGGTGCTTCTCGCAAAATTCAGTAACCCGGTTCGCGAGTGTTTGGAAGTCGCAAAAACTCAGTGTAGAATGTAAATATCCGGCGAATATAGGGCACGCTCAAAGTGTTAGATCCCGTGCCCACTGGTGGCGGAGCTTGCCGTAATCGCAGGGTATTTATTTAAAAGTTTTAGCCCAGTTCCAACAACTCACAGATACCGGAAAAAGTGATTAAGTTCAAGCAAGAGGGCTTCGATTAAGACTGTGGGCAGAAACATTGTGAACATCCCAGTGATTATTGGCTATGTCTTACCTTAATTCTTTATTGCATTAGTGTGGCGGGCGAGGTTATTCCACTCACGGGTACTCGCCGCTGAGCGCCTCAATGTTGATAGGCTGATGATGATGAACTTCTTTCAAAATTGCGCTTTGGTGTTGAAAACTGGATCGTCTTCGATTCTATGTTACATCTGGATCAAACAAGATATGCGACAAGGAGAAAATGAGCCGTCCGTTTTCAGCTGATTTGGAAGGTGTCGTGAGTGAACGTATTTTTTTAGAAAGACTTTTCCTCTATTTGCCGTGAAATGTACTCGATGAGCACTGCCACATACTGGCATTTTTGCAGTTTCGCGGTCATCTTATGCATTAACATAATCAAAGGATTAAAAATAGAATTTTGTCCAGCAGGTGTAAGAAAAGCTCTTCTGTTGCTGCTATCCAACAGGAGAAGCTACCTTTCACTGCTCGTACATTCTAGAGATCGATATCTTATCATGACCACGACAGCACGTCGCATCGCGAACGTAACTAAACTACCGCTATTTCCACCCTGTCCTCTCAAATTTGTTATTAATTTTCGAGTTAGCTGCCGCTGCCCTTGTTATAGGATCTAAGAATGCAGTACACTCCCACTCAAAAACAGCAGTCTATTTTTTTGCGGGCTCGATTTTGTCGTTTTGAGGACTTCTCTTCAGGAGTTAATTTTTTGTAAAGCATTTTGTAAACAGCTGTCAACTAATTTTTAAGTTTGCAGCGGTTTGCCCTCCTTTCCTCATTTCTTTTTTTTGCATCGCTCTACCTTTAAAAAAATGATTGGAAATAAGAGTTGCAGGACACTACATTCCTTCTCATTTTGAGCTGAAACGATCTAGCGCTCTGATAGCTTATACATCGCCAGTCTCTAATGCCAAATCATTTCAGGCTATGATTTTTCGCATTTTCGTCCTTTTTGCCGTCTGTCTGTGTGCTATAGCTGATAATGACAATAATGGAATTACATGCTCTTTTTGCAAAGCTGGTCTGGCCTCAGTAACCGCTACAATCCAGTCAAATCCCGAACTTCAGGCAAGGTTTACCGAATGACTTGTTCAAAAGGGTATTTCGATAATTTCTCAATTTATACTCGTACCCGTAGGCTCTCAATCTTCTGAATGTTGTAGATTGCGCCATTCTCATTCTCACGAAAATGTTTCGGTCTCATAATTAGGGACTGCATCGGCAGTAATACTGTCTGAAGCAATTGTGCGATCATTCACAGGTCTTTGCAAATGTGGTATAAACGTGCTACAGGAGAGACAGCTGCTTTGCAATATGAATATACTTCGTAATATGAATATACTAAAGAAGAACCCAAAAAAGGCCGAAGACGACACTCCGTTAACCATCCACGTTTACCTTGTGGGCTCATATCAACAAGGTACATCGAAGAATGACGAAAAATGCTCTCGAAATTTCTCTCCAATAAGCAAGACAATATCCGACTACATCTACTGTCACAAGGATGTGAATTTGTTCATCCATCGAGAAAACCAAGAGCATATGCGCCAGTCGCAGCTGTATAATTTTACAGTATAGTCACTCATGTGCGGGTTCCTGAAGATTGCCTTTTTTCTAATTGAACACATAAATGTGTTCATACAACATCGCTATAGTATACAGTTTATTTCCACAGTACGCTCCTTATCGTCCGAGATATATAAATTCCAAGCACGCCGGTTCTGCAAGTTCTTAAGAGATTTTGAAGAGTGTTTGAACGAAGACGCTACAAAAATTTCGTTGCCCCTTCACTTGCAGTTAACAGTTCACCGCCTCAGTACTTATTCAATAGTGAAACATTAACTGAATCGAAGAATATTTTTCTTGATTATGGATTTTTGCTGTTGTTGTTGCCGTTATATTTAGTATTTATAGAAACTGTTTATTTTTGTCAAACTTGTTGGGGCAGTTCGGCGACGGGAAGGGGCATTTTGCACTTATGCTACTTCCCACCGACGTGCCGACCTATCTAGAGAGCTTTTTCTTTCAGTTACCGAAGCTTTCACCAGGAGGAAGATATGTGAACCGGCTACTATAACGCAGTGAGTAGTGCAAAGTACCCACCACCCCCCCCCCCCCTCTGTCAACTGGCGCATTTGCGGTTAACTATGTATATCGCGTTTGCGTTATTTATCTTCGTTCAGGTCAGCTGAGGTGACTCCATCTCAGTCGCTCGGTTGATCAGGTGCCCAATGAACTGCAACGCAAAGCCTGTCGACTGACTTTAGACGGACAACTTTGGGCTTTCTTCCAAAGTAAGACAGCAGTTCAGTTCAGTAATTGGTTATTATATTAAGCTAAATGTACTTTTAATTACAGAACTTCCTTCAACAACCAGGCACATCTGCTGACGACTTCTGCAAAAACATGGGATATTGTTAACGTACTATCAACAAAGAATAGCTAATAAATTCTGAACAGATCAGCAGTTGACTGAAAGTTTTTAGAGTGCGGGGCAGGATGATCCATGTTGCCGGCCGCGCGGCGAACTTTTGCAATTAGCGTCACGTGTCGCACCAAGAGTGAACTGATTCTCGGGTATTCAAAACTATGTCAATGGCTAGGATATAATTTGTGCCCTTGGTTGTAACGTGGATCTCCTGACGAGCGTCTAGCTGTATTTGTGGCACACATTATTCCACACTGACGAAATGGGATTTGTTTGACAGTTCATGATGACCAAGCATCACATGGTCTGAAAAAGTCTGGCTTTCAGGAGAAGGCGTGGCTTGGGCAAGGGACTGAACTTTTGTCCACCGAAGCGGATAACTAGCAATGGTAGAAGCCACCAGCCATTGCACCAACAAAGGTTGCCTTGGTCATTTATTAGAACCCTCTACAGGGCTGTTAGGACATGTGGCATTCTGGTGCAATCACTGACTTTTGGGAATGTTAATAATCGTCTGTTATCGAATGGCTAGGTTTGAAAAAAACCGTGTCGTGAAAAAATATCGGCTCACCATCTGAAAGCCTTTTCGTTTTCCCTCCCCCTAGGGCCTAGGCAAATTCCTCATCTCCATGGCTTGGAATTGTTTCTTTTCTTTTTCTACATTAAAGGAATATGGCACGACAATTTAGTACTCGGTCTGAAACCATAGGGTGCTATTTAGTGGGAAAACGGCGAAAAATGAAATGGAACGGTCCAAAACCTGCAGGAACAACCTTTCTTCTACACACCTCAGAAAGCA